TGAATGGGGAACATATTACCCAGAAGTTGTGGGCACAGAGAGAGTGCTGGGCTCGTGAGGCTAGATTAGAATTCACTGGTGTGGATCTCCCAGGGTGGGTAGCACAGAGCAGGGAGCAGATAACTGGCTGGGGTATACTTGTATCCCCACATACAGACTTGGGAATACTAGAGAGACCATGGCCCTGATCTGCAGGCATCGCCTCCCGTGGCGCCACAGACAGGCAGCAGGTGGTCCGCTACCCATAACGCTTAACGGTAGATGAAGACGGGCCACCTGCCGGACTGTGCCTGGTGCCAACAGCAGGCGGTGCCAACATCGTTTGCCACCTAAGCCGCCTCAAAGGGAGGATGAGGGCCAGAACATGGGTGGGGGAGAGAGAGGAGAGAAGACAGGGCCCTTGGTCTCAACCTACAGTAGGAGACCTTGGAGTCTGGTGGAGGCAATGGCTCTGCCTCGGATGGGGGAGGTAACACTACCTACAGAATCTACAGGGGAGGCCTGTGAAGCCAGGACTAAGGCCTGAAGAGCCAGCTGGACAAGACAGGTGGCCCCTGGCCCGAGGGTCCAACCCAGCTATAGGGCTCACCACCTGTCTCTGCCAAGCCAGCAACAGACGGCTCTCAGGAAAAAAATAAAAATTAAAAAAAAAAAAAAGTCCTTTTTGTTCAAGCTGAGCTGGCAATAGGTCATGGGAGGAAGGCCACATGACCTCCCTGGTGTGGCTGGGTGGCTGTCTGGGCTCTGCACAGGGGGCTGTTGGGCAGGTGACAGTCATGTCTTGGCAGCCTTGGCAGCTGCCTTGCAAAACATCAGATCTAGATGTCAACCCTCTGTCCCACTCATTCCAGACTTTCTTCCTCACCCTCCTCCATAGCTGCGAACACCCTTCATGTCCTCTCTGGCTTGGCTCCGGCACACACTGAGTCCTGCCCTTCACCAGCCACCTGTGTGCACAGGTTCCTGGTGGGGGGTCATGTGTGTGAGTTGGTGTGAGATGATTTACCCACTCTTTGCCAAGCTTGCGCAAAACAGCCAAGGGACAGAGAAAAGTCGTCGGGACATATACATTCAACACTGATGTTACCTATTTCACATCATCCAAGGGTCCTTTCCACACTCAGCCTGTCACGTGGGCTGTGGGTTGGCCTCCTGGGGAGGAGGTCCAGCTCTGATCTGGCTGGTGCCTTTGGTTTTGTGTTTTTGTTTTTATTTTGTCTTGAGACTGGGTCTTACAATGTAGCTCTGGCTGTCATGGAAATCACTCTACTGTGGACCAGGCTGGCCTCAAATTCAGAGAACCACCTGCCTCTGCCTCCCAAATGCTGGGATTAAAGGCATGCACCACCATCACCTAGTTTGCTCAACCTGTACTTACTCACTGATGAGAACTTACCAATATCCTGGTCAAAATCTGAGTCACAGATGAACGGCCCCAGCGCTCACTCATTAGGTAGCCTACCTCCTTGTCTAACCCAGGATATGAGTCCATGAGTCACTGAAGCCAACATTCTGATGCTGTTCAGGTAAAAGCAGATGCCAGCCTTTCCCAGGGACATGCTCCCACAGAGTGATGGCTCGACCTGCCACACTCAGCTCCATGTTGCATCCCAAAGAGCAAAATCACAGCCGAGTGTACTGTGTATTTTCACATGTGACCTTGCCCAGGCTACCAGCCAAGGCAAGGGGCAGGAAGACGACAGATACCTGGACCCCACCCGTAGTCCACAGGAGCCTGGCAATCCTGTATGCCATTTTTCCTTTATCTACGATGTCTTTATCTCTGATGCTAACAACATTCTATCTTCCACTGAGACTGTAAAACCGCAGAACAAATAAACAGAACCATGGGAACTGCTGAAGAGATGGCCCAAGTGAGTGGTGGGGCATCCCAAAGATGACTTGGCTACAGATGGGCCCCTGTCCAATGGCCTGACAATGGCCAGCCCCCACCCACGCCCTTTCCTGTCCTTGCAGGAGGTTTGCCTTAAAAAGTTGGCAAGTGAAGCCCCAGGTTGTAATCTGCGGTCCCCCCACTGCGCCCGCCTGTTTTCATTACGGAGGGAAAGAGCATCAGAGCCGTGTTTATAACCCCCTTTTAGATAACAAATCACATTTTCTTTTCGCCTGCGAGTGTGTTGAATTGATATTTTTCCCCCCTCAGTTTAATGGGTTTGTGTGTTCAGGAATGATCTTCATCAACCGAAACTCCTTATTGTGTTTGATGTAATGTCAGCTTTCATTACATGCGTCTGTGTGAGCCAGGCACAGGGAAAGGCTGAGCCCCCTGGAGCCTGAGCCCTGCCTCAGCCCCCAACCCAGGCCTGTCATCCTAGATGGGTGGGTGGGTGGCAAGTCCGGATGAGGCTGGAGATGAGTTGGGAGAGCGGGTTGAAAGGCTGGGTTTAAAGCCTCCTTTGTCCCTGCCCTGGCGTCCCTGTCTGGCTCACCAGGAGTCCCACACATTGTAGACACCTCTGGAGGTACCTCGGCCTAACATTCCTGTTCAAGCAGCATGCCAGGCATTCAGTCACCGATCCGGAATGCTTGACTTCAGTCACTATGTCCCATAGCCAGTAGCCTGTACAAAAGACAGCCTGAAGAAGACAGCCTAACACTGTCGCCTTAAACATTCAAAAATACTGACCATCTACAACCATTAGCCACAGACCTAGCATCTGGCCCAACCCTCCCCTGCAGGCATAAGGAAGCTCTGAGAGAGTGTGGTTCAACCCTAAAGTCACACAGCATGCCCTAGCCAGGCCTTGGTTGGGCGGGGTAGCCTGTGACTTCCACCCCCTCCCCATGGGGTGAGTGCAGGGGTCTGTGCATGCTGCTTTGCAGGCAGGTCCTCAGGAACAGGTCAGGACACAAACAGCCCAGGATGCGCAAGGAACCTCTGGCAACCCTAAAGGATTTTGTTGTATAAAATAGCTGAGGAACACCTAGGGAGAATGACTTGGACAGTGGCCCTGGCCCTGGAGCCCACCAGGGCAAAGTGGGATGCCCTCTCCTGGGCGAATGGCACTTGCTGACACTAGGCTCACCTTCTGGCGGCCTCTGTCAGCTGCACTCGGTTCTGATTAAAGATCATTAAACATGAAATTAGCCCGTTTGTGTTACGGGTCCCTGGGGTGGCGGGTGATTATGACGTGCAGATGGCCAAGAACACAGGCGGCAGGCAGGCATTGGCCAGAATGGGCAGGCAGGCACGTGTGAGTGAGGGCCACAGGCAGGCACACGGGCCCAGCTTTGTTTATTCCCACTCCTGTTGTGTAAACCCCTTTGCATTTCACAACAAATCACAGATAATTAATAAGTACAGGCTGGTAATGAGCAGGCTTTTTAATAGAAGAAATTGGAAGATGCCGTGAGAAGTCATTATTTCGCTGTTGCCCAGGCTCTGCTCTGACTTTCTATCTTCCTCACTCCCTGGTCATGTCTCAGCCGACCTCTCAGCAGCCAGGCTGGCTCTGACCCTGCCCTCAACCAGCCTGCAGGGCAGTACCCTATGTCAGGGGTACAATAACCTTCTAGAACATGTGAAGGACCTGAAGATAGGCCTTAGGGTGGCGGGAGCAGGGTGCCAGCAGCAGTGACTCATCCCACTTTTCCTGGGGTAGCTTTGGGTGGGGGAAGGGACCGTATCAGTCCTAGAGGAATCCAAGGAGCTGTTTGAGGCCTTGGTGGACCTAAGGGCCCGGGCTGCGTCTCGGGAGCCCCTGAGCTGTGAGCACTGAGGCTTCTTTCTCATCACCAGGAGGAAGACATCATGTACTATGATGCCAAGGCTGATGCTGAGTTGGTAAGTGTCCCGCCTTTGCTGTAGAGTACAGGAAGCCTCCAGAGCTGCACCCGGAAGAACTGAGTCACAACAGTGTCAGCTGTAAAGTGGGTGTTATGGTCAGCACTCACCATTTTGAACTCAACCATTCCGAGTTGTGGTGGGTCAGACCCTCATCTCCCACAAATCCCTAGAGGCCCTTGACCCTCCAAGGCTGTCTTCATCATCAATGTGGGCTAAATTTCCTTCCCTACACAACGTGGAACAGGCTGGCTCTCCCTCTCTGGCAAGGTGGTAAAGTGTTGGCCCTCAGGACAGTTCCAGCATGAGGGGCTCTCTGAGCACCATGGGAGTATAGGGGAGGGGGACTAGTCCCGAGGGCCTTCCTGGGGGTAGGCATGTAGGAGTGAGGCATAGTGACATCTAGGTCCCTCCCAGGCTCCCTTCCCTTGGGACTTGGGAAACAGTATCAAGCTTTGTAGAGGACCCATAGCCTGGCCTCACCAATAGTGAGGCCCTGCATCGCTTGGTGGCCCCAGACACAGGCAGCTCAGTTCCAACATCTCTTTTCATATGAGGCTCAACTCAGCTACGATAATCTCCCAGAAGTGATAACACTGGCCTTAAACCACTCTATCTCCATATCCCATGGGCTCAGGTCTGCTTGGGTTAGCTTGGAAGGTGGTGAGGTCTCCCTCGTGAAGAAGGAGTGGATGGTGTTCAGTGAACTCATCGGTGTCTGACTTGGGGTGACACAGTGATACAGTGTCTAGCACTGATCTGTGTTTACCAATACCGAAAACCCAATGTCCAGTGTTCCATTTCCTGGCCTGGAGGTTTTCTCGGTCTGGAGCAGAGGTAACCCATGACACCAGGAGGTGGAAGGGCTGGAAAGGAGACCTGTGTGGGAAGCCACGGTGCCAGTTTGGCCCAGGAAGCCTCAGAGAGGGCAGGGGGCCGAGGAGAAGGAGGGGTGGGCTGAAGCAGGTGCGCTTCCCCTTGGCTGAGCTCCGTGGCTCCCGGAGAAGTTGCTAAAATTAAAGCTGGAATCTGAAATTCAAATGAAGAGCGAACCTTTAATTAGACCCTGAATCTAATTCCTTACCCCCCTCGGCAGCGGGCTGTAATTTTAGCAATCAGTGCATTAAATATAAACCAGGAGACTACAGTGGCCCGCTGCACTGAGCTCCTGGGCTCGGGTGGCACTGAGAGGCTCCCTGGGCAGCCTTGTACCCAAATCCCGACCAGGACACTGTTCTCTGCTCCCAGCAGACCCCAGCTCTACCTGGGACCCCATCCTGCCTCTAAATGCCTGATGCTCTGGCCCCCTACCCAGCAGGGGGATTGGAACTAGCCAGTTGACGAGCACTGCTCTAGGCAGAGCTGGGCTACGATCAGAGAGGCCAGAAGCCACAAGCCTGGTATGAATAACAGCACGCACGCACTCACTGAGGCTCCTATTTGTTGTGTTGTTTTCTTTTTCTTTTTCTTTTTTTTTTTTTAAATCTTTGCCAGAGGTACAGTTAGAGATCTTTCTAGACCATTTACTTTTAAATTACCAGCCAGAAGGTGGGGGTGAGAGGGAGAGAAGGAAAAAGTTCCCCAGCTGAAGGCTTATCAGAATGGAATCCAAATGTCACATTAGTTGGGAAAGTTGGAAGATTACATTTTCCAGCGCCCTTCATCTGCTGCTGACATTTGGGGGCTTTCTTCTCCCACACCTCTCCCTCCAAGTGAAGCCTGCGTGCGTGCGTGCGTGGCTTACGCCTCCCAGACCGCTGGCTCCCTGCTCCAGCCTGTGTGCTCAGCAGCTGCCTACTCTGGCATAACCCAGCACCCAGGGGCATTTCAGGAGCTTCCCAAAGTGGGCAGGAGGTGGGTGTGCCTGGTGGAGGGCATGAAGGGCAATCGACAGCCTGCATTTTTTTTTGTCCAAAACCTTCCCTGGAAGACGGGTAGGACATAGGCTCAGGTCACTTCAGAGCTGTGTCCTAGGATGTGGCCTGTTAGAAGAAAGCAGCCTGGCCAGTAACCTAGAGACTGAAATACAGTAGGGGTGGGGTGCGGGGCTGAATGTCTGGGCCACAGGAAGCAGCAGAGGAGCCGCCCTGCAGATCCATAGGGAAGAAACATGAATGGAACCTGAGCTGAACAGTTCAGGTTCAGGAACTGAACAGTCGAAAGGGTCTTGGGTTGGGGAACAGGGTGTGGGAGTATGGAACATTCGGTGTGTACTGCCTCCCTGTCTAGTGTTTTCTCCTTCCCCTGTGCTCTCTTCCTTCCTTGCTCGTACACCTGCGCTGGAGCCTGCCCCCCCCCATGGCTGCAGCCCCACTCTGTAGCCGCAGCCCCATTCCTGCCAGCCTGTGGTGGTAGGCGGTAGGGGGGTTGCACGGCGCATGCCCAGCCTGCCTGGCCGAGAGATACCGTAATTGGCACCTGTCAGGCAGCTGCAGCTCGTTTTAGAAAATCAACGGGGGCCTTTACAGTCCTTTACAGTAGCAGGCACGGCGAACCCTCCCTCTGTAGGTCACCTGGTCTCTGTGCTAGCCCCACTCAGCTCTAGAGCCGCTCTGCTACAGGAGATGGTGGCCCAGGAGGGGCTAGGGCGGCTGGTTCCCGTTTTTTCCCTCTGTCTCTCTCTGCCCTGCAGGGAGTGGGTGGGGCTCAGAGGGGAGTATGGGGTATGGGGCTTCGAAGCTGCTGAGGCCCCACTGTAACTGCACAAGGCGTGCCCTGGGAAGCAGAAGTCTGCAGCCATGCCTGCTAACTGGCTCTACCGTTTGCCTCCTCCACTGACAGTTGCTTCGCAAGGATGTAGAGAAGGGTCATTCTGGTTTGGGCCTTAGCTGGAGTTTGGCAAATGACTGGTGGACACGGTGGGCAAGGGCAGGCAAATTCACAAGCCTTCTGGGTGAGGAGTCCATAGGTTGTGCCCACGTCTCTCCGTCTGTCTCTTGTCTCTGCAACAATCTCTGTCTCACCTGCAAGCCTAACCAACCCCACTCACCATTTTCCAGCCCTGATGCGGGGTGGGGGTGCTTTCCGCAGGATGACCCTGAGAGTGAAGATGTGGAGAGGGGATCCAAGACCAGTGCCTTAAGGCTGGACTTCGTCCAGGATCCAAACTTCAAGAACAAAGTCAACTATTCATACACGGCTGTACAGATCCCCACGGACATCTACAAAGGCTGTGAGTGTGACGGAGGTGGGGACAGCCCTTCTCACCCGAGTGGGAGCAAGGCCCGCTCCCCAGGCCTCCCCAGGTCCCCCGCCTCCAGCCAGTCCCCTGCACCCAAGGGGTCAGATCTTGAAGCACAGCCTCCTCCCTCCGCTGGTGTGGTCTAGAGCCAGTGTGTACACACACCGCACACATACCTGCACATCTGCCTAGCTCCTCACCGCTGGGCTGAATCCCCCCTCAAAACAGCTCCTTACCACCCTCGGTTTTCTCTGCCTCTATTAGAAGCGCCTGGGAAACTCCAGCATAAGGTGGAGATTAAGGACAGCAAACCAGCTGCCATGAACAGACACAAACCAGGTTAACCCACTACGCTCCATGGCACAGAGCTAAAAGAGTGGGAAATAGTCCCTGGCCTGGAACGGCCAGAGGGTGTGTGTGGCGAAGGGGAACCAGGAAAATGTGGCCAAGGTGCCAGGTCCCAGGGGTGGGCCGGCTTTGCACAGTGGGGAAATGGAGTCATTACCGCTTCAGTCCACTGCTCCTCATCCAGTGCTCGGCTTTCGACTTCTTCTCCCTACACCGCTCCAAATCCTTGGCAGTTTCCTCCAGCGGTAGATTGAAGGCCCTGGTTCTGGCACAACCATGAGGAGCACCTACAGATAGGACAGTGTCAGAATCCACTGAGCTGGGGGCGAGGGGGGTACCTGGGAGGGCCCTACAGTCTACCAGGAACCCCCTGACACCCTCAACGTCAGCCGAGTCTCCTGGGTGACCTCGGGCCGGGTGGGGGAGCCCCCCCCCAGCAGCAGGCTGCCCGCAGAACACCTGCTGGAGCCACCGGAGGAGCACTATCACAGGCAGGCACGCTAATTAAAACAGGGGCCCCACCACCCTCCCAGTCACCCCTCGCTACCCACACAAATTACATTTTATATGTTTTTTATTTACTGTGTCACTTTTAATTAAATCTGTAATCGCCTGCCTGAGGGGGCATGGTCCCCATTTCTCAACTCAGTGTGATCTGAGAGTGTGTGCACATGGGCGTGGGGTGGGGGTATCTGCATTGGTGTGTCCTGCAGGTCCGTCCATGTGGCCACAGGTATCTCTTGAGGGACAGCCCACCACCAGCAGGGGTCACCCCTCTGCCTGAGGGACTTCCAAGTTTCTCAGACAGAGAGACTGAGGCAGGCGTGCCGTGCAGACTCACAAATGGCACTGTGTGAAACACTTGGAGGCCTCGTTTCTTTTTTTTTTTTTTTTTTCCTTCTTAAAAAGAAAAATAGAAAGCGTTCAACTCACTAGGCTTCAAAATCAGAAACAGGACCATGACACGGTGTTCAATAGGCAGAGCCAATGGTAGAAATAGGTTTTGTGTTCATATTGTGGTCAGTTGAGGGGAACCATGGAGGGGGAGGGGCGATGAAAGCTGAGGAGCAAGATGGGCCACAGCAGAGCCCACACAAAGGAAGAGCAGAGGGGTGGGCGAGGGAATGGCAGGCCCCTGGGCCAGAGGCAGGGCCTTGAGGGCTTGTCGCACACAGCTCGTTCTGAGGGAATCAAAAAGCCTTAAGAGAGCCTTCTCTGGCTGTCACCGGCAATCTCTGATGGGGATCATGGCGATAGTGGCAGAAGGGAAGCAGAAGAAAACTGGGAAGAAAGACTGAAATTAGAGAGGGCTGGCAGAGGCGGGTGTATCATTCCTCGTTGTTTTTTTTTTCTGGCTGGGGACTATGTATAGATAAAAACATGTACACATGTATGCGTGCACACAGACACTCAGACATGCCATGCAGACTTAAGGGCACCCTGGGTTATAGGACAAGCATGCCACCCAGGTTGGTCAATAGCCTTGCTCTGTGAGTGTGGGAGGGGTAGGCCTGGCAGAAGGGAGGTGTCACTCACATGCAACTACAGAGGTGAGGGAGCTGCAGGTAACTGGTGGCACCACATGAGAGCTCCTGTGTGCCCCTTCCCCATGGCAGCAAGTGTGTTGCTAGGGTAGGCAGGTTTGGGAGCAGGGGGATGGGGTTCCTGCACAGGGCTGGAAACACGGATGCCTGCCGAGGGTGCGGGCTGTATGTACGTGCACGAGCCTGGGTTGGGATAGGATCCCGGCCCCGGCCCTGCCCTTCCGCAGTCCCCACTCCTGCCCCTGCCTGCTGCTGGCCCCAGTTGATTAATCATGGAGCTGAGTGGCTTCCAGCTTATCAGGTACCTTAATAGCTGAATAATTCCAGCCCCATCAGCGGGCCCTTAATTGCTTTCTTGTGGCTGCGGCCTGGAGTGCATGCTGAGTGGGTGAGCTCCCGGGGGACCCGCTGCAGGCTCCAGGCAGCATGCTGGATGGGGGCCCAGCTCACTGTTCCTTGCCACCCAGGCAGCCCTTCTCCACGGACCACAGACCACAGCAGCCCTGCTTGCTCACTGAGGCTTGGGTGAGGGCTAGGTTGAGAAGTTCCTTTGATAATTTGGAGGAGGGAGGGCAATAAAAATCTTCCTGGGGGAGCTGGCATGGCCCCAAGCCAGCCTCTGGAAAAAAAATCAAAGAAAGCCCGGGCAGGCAAGAAAGCAGGCCACTGAGGTGCGAGGCTTGAGCATGTGACGGAGACGGGTTTAGCAGGGGCCGACCCGGAGCTCGCCACCCTAGCCTTCTGCCCTGCCCCCCCAGCTACTGTCATCCTCAATGAGCTTAACTGGACGGAGGCCCTGGAGAACGTCTTCATCCAGAACCGTAGGCAAGACCCTACGCTGCTGTGGCAAGTCTTCGGCAGTGCCACAGGAGTCACCCGCTATTACCCAGGTAGGCACACTGTCTCCCTGGCCCGTCCAGCACCATCTCCAAGCCTGCCCATCCTGAAGTGCATGGGGTACAATGAACTGAGTCATTCCCGGAACTCCCATCTGCTCCCGTCAGGCCCTCCCTTCGTCCTCTCTTTCCACAGCCACGCCATGGCGAGCCCCCAAGAAGATTGACCTGTACGATGTCAGAAGACGACCCTGGTGAGTGAGCGAGGAGGGGTCGAGGAGCGGCACCCCCTCAGCTCCCCCATCTCTCTTGCCTGCTCCCCTCCCTCCCAATATCCAGACCTCCGAGCAGGGCGCAGCCAGCTCTATCCAATTTTCATTTCACACATCGCTGCCACTGGAAAATGGATCCCATCACCCAGGCAAGCCGCCCAGCTGCCTCTGCCCCCCCCATATTGCCCCCTACCCAGTTCCCCTCCCCAATACACCCACTCAGAACTAAGAGATCAGACCAGTGAGGGAGTTCGCAAGGGCAGATAGAGCCTGTGCCAGCTCAGCCGGCTCCACCCTAATCATCTGATCCCTAGACACCCCTACCCTCTGCTCTGCCCCTTCTCACCCTGCTATGCCATGACCTTGCCTCCCTCCCCCATTCATACACAGCCAGACTCTATGGAGCCTCTTCCTGGGGCAGAGGACACAAGCCACTGAAGGCCTCTGCCCCTGCGGATCACCAGACACACACACACACACACACACACACACACACACACACCTCTTGTTTACTTAATGAAGTACCATGCAGTGCGAGGTCAGTAGAAACACACGACACATTAAGTGGGTAGAGGAAGGGAAGAGCCCTCAGGCCCCAGGGCGGCTGTCCCTAACTGAGTCTTCTCACCGGCAGGTATATTCAGGGGGCCTCGTCGCCCAAGGACATGGTCATCATTGTGGATGTGTGAGTGAGCACTGTGTGTAGGCTGGCGGGTCCGGGATGGGCGGGGGCTGGATTCTGCTGCCCGGGAACATGATTCGGGATGGACGGGAGAACCCTGAGAGCCCACACACACAACGCCCCCGCCTGGCTTCTAGGAGTGGCAGCGTGAGCGGCCTGACCCTGAAGCTGATGAAGACGTCCGTCTGTGAGATGCTTGACACGCTCTCTGATGACGACTACGTGAACGTGGCCTCCGTGAGTGCCGAGGGGGCAGGCGGGCTGGGAGCTGCTCACCCCCATCCAACTTGCTCCCGTGACAACCATCAGCTTTGTGCAACAGCTGTCCACTGGGGCTAGCCCGAGGCCACCACCACCATCCCCCGTTGTCCCCACAGTTCAACGAGAAGGCGCAGCCTGTGTCTTGCTTCACACACCTCGTGCAGGCCAACGTGCGGAACAAGAAGGTGTTCAAGGAAGCTGTGCAGGGCATGGTGGCTAAGGGCACCACGGGCTACAAGGCCGGCTTTGAGTATGCCTTTGACCAGCTGCAGAACGTGAGCCCCCACGAGTGGGCAAAAATGGGTGGCCAGGGGTGGGTGAGGGACCAGGCTTAGTGACATGGGGAGATAGATATGGCTGGCCTTGTTAATAGTGAACAGGCAGCTTAGATAGAAAGCACCATCTCCTGTGCGGGAGGAGGGCCAGAGGGCCAAGCTTACCTCCCAGGAGGGAGACCCGTGAGAGACCCAGGACTGCCTGACTCTGTGTTTACCCTTGACTAGTCCAACATCACTCGGGCTAACTGCAATAAGATGATCATGATGTTCACGGATGGGGGTGAGGATCGCGTGCAGGATGTCTTTGAGAAGTACAATTGGCCCAATCGGACGGTGAGCCTCATCCCCGGCGGGTGGCTGCCCTGAGCTGGGCCCCGAGCTGGGCCCAGGACAGGAGAGGGCCGTCCACAGGTGGCCGCAGCAATAACCCCATTGCCCGGCAGGTACGCGTGTTCACGTTCTCTGTGGGGCAGCATAACTATGATGTCACACCCCTGCAGTGGATGGCGTGCACCAACAAAGGTACCCCATGCCAGGGCGTCTGCCTGCTATGTCTGTCTGCCAGCTTCTCTGCTCCCACACCCGTTTGCTGATCAATCCATCTCTCTCTGCATTTGGGTAAAAGCTGAGTGTTACCGACAGTCTAGAATGAGGCTCCTTCCTCCACCCCACCTCCGCTGCTTCTTCAGACCCCTATGCTCTGTCCCCTTCTGTAGCGTTGGTCACTGTGCCAGGGCAACGGCAGGGAGCATAGAGTCTGGGGGAGAGTAACAAGACACAGAGCGCTGCAGAGATACCCCAGGGGCCATTACCCTCCTCCCCCGTGCTGTGGGTCTTGCTGTGCCAGTCAAGCCCACACCGCCTCTTTTTGCAGGTTACTATTTTGAGATCCCTTCCATCGGAGCCATCCGCATCAATACACAGGTGAGGTTGTGCAGGAGGCCATCCCTCCCAGGCCTTTGCCTCCCTCGGGGTTGTGGCTGTGCGCCTTCCAGCCACGGGATGATAGCGACCCCTGGTGGCTGCTGTGGCACATGGCAGCAGGTGAGAGGAAGCGAGCTGGGAAGGACAGTTAGGACCTTTCCTCGCCTAGGAATACCTGGATGTGTTGGGCAGGCCTATGGTACTGGCAGGCAAGGAAGCCAAGCAAGTGCAGTGGACAAACGTATATGAGGATGCGCTGGTAAGGCCTCTTGGGGGAGAAAGGGGATGGGTGGCCTTTCCTCAGGGATGTGCCCGCAGGGTCAAGACCCCTGAGGGCTTCCTTATTGGTATTGACCAAATGAAAGAAAATGATAGGTGGCCTGGCCCTGAACACTCAGAGTGGGGGCACGGCTGGCCGCACAGGAGACCCCATCCTCCTCTCCCTTCAGGGGCTGGGGTTGGTGGTCACAGGAACTCTCCCTGTCTTCAACCTGACACAGGATGGCCCTGGGGAAAAGAAGGTGAGGTGCCCAGTGGGTTATCTGGGGAGGGATTGGCATGTCTTTGGCCGGTCTGGGAATGGTGGAGGGATAGGGCACCTGTACAGACTTGGCAGAGCAGCTAACCGTGTTGGCAGCTTGGGGCCTTTAGTATGAGACCTGTCCAGGGGTTCCTCTGTGCACTTGACTCATTATAGTGTACCGTCGCGTTCCTTTGTGCCCAGAACCAGCTGATCCTGGGTGTGATGGGCATCGATGTAGCCCTGAATGACATCAAAAGGCTGACTCCCAACTACACAGTAAGCGTCCGCCCGCCCACCACCCTGCTCTGCTTTCTACGGTGATGCAAGCCAGGCTCAGCCGAGGAGACCTGGGGGGTGAAGGGCTTTCACAGGGACCTTTGAGAACCAAGAAAGAATTCCTAGGGGGCGTTTCAAAGCTGGAGACAGCATGCTTCTTGTGAATGATTAGTCTGGGACTGTGTCAGGCCTTGCTGACCTAAACATCCATTTTGCATGCTAATACTATAGAGTGAAAGCAGCTGCAGACAAATCACAAACATATGGGCCAGACAGTTTTGTTTCATTTTTATTGGTTGGATTTTATTTATTTATTTATTTATTTATTTATTTATTTATTTATTTATTT